TGGGGCTCCCCAGCCCGGGATGCCCCCGGGGCTCCGCCCCCCCAGCCCGGGCCATCAGCCCTTGCCCTTGGGAGGGCTGCATGGCTTTAGCATGAAGAGGGCGACGTGTCAGGAGATGAACCTCCCCTCAGATCCTTGTTGCCGCCTGGTTTTCAGAAAGAAGTTTCGTGACCACATCACTCAGTACCGTTGCCAAGAAATAAACTGGTTACTAATTTTCTGTCCTCCTGGAGGAGAGCTACAGAGCAGCAACCCCAGCACCGCAAATGCTATAAAAACCTTGTATACTTGGAAGTTCCTCAGAGGGAAGAGTAAATGGTGGTGGTTTTCTTGGTTTTCAGCAGTTTCAGATTTCCTTCTCCGTTACCGTCAGATTGAGGCAGAAGGGCCCAGAACCCCGTGTGTTTGGGGTGTGGGGAAGCTGGCTTGGGATTTGAAGTCTTGACAAAAGTAATAGGAATGTGTTGTAGGCTCCAGCAGAGAACTCTCTGGAAGGTGCATTCTATTCCGCTCCTATGCGTATGGGTCTCTTAGAATGATTGAGGGAAAAGAAGGCGGAAAAACCCAATGGAATTTTTTCATTTTAAGCATGTCAGGTGTTGCTTAATGAAGTGCCGGACAGGTTGGACAGGGTGCTGCCTCCTTTGAACAGTCAGCTACCTGAGAAAAACCTACCCAGTCTTCAGTTTCAAAAACGCATCTCATGCTGCTATTGCAAAAACTATGCACATAACATCTACTCATTCGACACGGTAGGTCTGATACGAGCCGCTGATGCTACTAAAACAAATCTGTTTTTCGGAGATAGCTTTCAACAAGTGCTGTTTCCCCTCCCTTTCCCTTTTGGCCACTTGAATTCGGTGCAGTTTTGAAACACCCCTAAACAGGAAACCAATGATACTTCGACAATTCCAATCGAATGATAGGAGTTTGTGCCCAGTGTCGCCAGTGGGAATCCTTCCGTTCTGCAAGGTGGAGCTAGGTGTTGGAACAGCGGCGGTTCTGATCCGCAGATGGTAACGTGGTGTGTTCTCGCGGCATGTGGCTCTCTGCGTGTTTCATGACTGCTTCTTGGGCCAATCTATTCTACGTGTTCAAAAAGGGGAATGGCATCGGTAGTCCACTGGCATTAGCCACCACACCCTAGGCAAGGCTTGAAGAATGCTAAATGAGAGGCAAGGGATATTGCTTTCTATAAAATCGCTGGCAAACCTGGCTTCTAGAAAGTGCTTTATTTACGACTTTTTTTGAATGAAACTATTTGAATGAAACTATTTCGTTTCATTGACATTATGGTAGATAGATAGAAATGTCCCTGGAAGGCTGAAAGTTTTGCCTTTTATTTATTTTTTTTAAGATTTTATTTGTTTATTTGACAGAGATCACAAGTAGGCAGAGAGGCAGGCAGAGAGAGAGAGGAGGAAGCAGGCTCCCTGCTGAGCAGAAAGCCCGATGTGGGGCTCGATCCCAGGACTCTGGGATCATGACCTGAGCTGAAGGCAGAGGCTTTAACCCACTGAGCCACCCAGGCGCCCCAAGTTTTGCCTTTTAAAACCTCTGTCTGCCTGTATCTGTGAGGGAATTTGTTTTCAGTATTTGCCCACAGACAACAACTCTTTATGTTTTTATGTTGATAGTTCTGCTGTTTATTCCAAGTAAGAAAATAGAGAAGCTCGCTGCTGTTTTTGCTAAGGTCACTGATTAGACGAAGCTGGTTTTTGTCCCCAGTTATCTAAGACCTAAGAGCAGACTCATTCAGACCCAGGCCAACAAAGGTTTATGGCTTGTGACACCGGGCTCATGAGAAACAGGACGGAGACAACAGCGTTCACAGGCCACTGTCTAGTCAGAGGACTAGACAGGTGAACCTGTAATAATAATAAGGCAGCATGTGATCAAGGAAGTGCAGCGTGGGGGTGGAGAGCAGGAGGGAACCAGTACAGCTAGAGCAATCAGGGTGGACTTCTGGAGGAAGGGGTTTTTCCTGAGTAGTCTTTACAGCATGGACAGGAAATCAAGGGCCAGAGAGGGATTGAAGCCAAGAGGCTGTTGGGGAAAGGAAGCTTTCTAGTCAAGAGGGTGGTGTGAGTGGTTCAGGCTTAAAGGAATCTTAAAAAAAAACAAAAATTAAAAAAAACTCATTTTTTAAATGACTTTATAAATACTACAAAGCACTTAATTCAGGAAAACCCACAACAGACAAGACATTAAACACCTACAGTTTCTGAGCTAGCTTTCATATGGCCTTTGCTGAGGTGGTAAGGTAGAGTGATCAGAGACAGAGAAGCCACAGAGCCCTGGAAAAGCCTGTGGGGAGACCCCACGGAGGAAATCCCCTAGAGGGGAGCTGTAGGCTTTGGAGAGGCACCTGCTCGCTGTCCTCCTGCCCCCTCCTATCCTAGAGAGAAGACTTGGCTATAGGTTAATACTTTGGAGAACCACAAACGTGTAGATCGGTGGTCTTTTAGTCCATTCTGTTGATAACAAAGTATTTCGAATGCCTCGCCTGCTACTTCCTTCCCACTACTCCCCCCCACCCCCGCCACGACAGATCTGTAATATAAACACATTCTCTGTGTTGATAAGGAAATATGAGCTTGCTTTTTCAGTTATCTACCAGAAATTCTTACACCAGGAAAACTGAAACAATAAAGGTGTATCTTTGAAGGTCAATAAATCAGTGCTTTATGAGGCCATGAAAAGGGGAGTTCCAGACCAGGGCCTCCTTTGCAGAGAGTGTTGTGTTGAGAAGGTGCTGCGTGAACTTTATCACCATGTCAGTATTAAAATTTCCCCCGTTGTATTTTCCTATTTTTGAAGTATGGAGAAAAACTAATATTGTTTTTCCCACACGGTGTGTCTAAGGTGCCAGAGGTGTTGTCTGTTGTCTAGGCCATTTTTGTTTTGTCTTGGTTTGGTTTTGTTTTTTTTTTTTTTTTGCTGATATGGGTCTGCACCCTGATGGTCATTGGCTCTCCAGGTGATTCACTCCCAAGGGCACCTGCCCGCCGGGTTGGGTGGCCTCCCCAGACTGCCAGTCTGCCGTCTCCCAGCAGCATCCTGACCCTAGCGCACAAGGGAAGCACCCCTCACGGGGCCCAAGGCAAGCTGACCTCACCTCCGCGCGCCCAGAGCTGGTCTGGGGAGCATTCTGCCCAGCACGTGAGTGCCCCCCCCCCCCGTCCCCCCCCAGCAGCAGGCACCGCCAGGTTCTCCACCTGGTCGGCAGAAGTCAGTCCCTTTCTCTTTGTGCTTCTCTCTGCTTGCAATGGGGTGGGCTTCCCGCAGGGTCCACCACTAGAAACTCCTTTCATTTTTTCTGCCCCGAGAACACTGAGCCGGGAGAAACCAAGAGTGAGACAGTGGGCTTCAGCAAAACAAAAGACTTGGTCGGTCTAAAGTTCGTAGTGAGCTTTTGAGGTTGAGCCCCGAGTGGGTGGCCAGTGAGATTACGCACGGCCCCATATCTCTGTCCTCATTCTGAGAGGCGCGCTCGGTCTGTTTCCTGCCACCGAGACCGACCTGCCCGCGCGCCCCTGGCAGGCTTCCCCGCTGTCTCTGAAGTCAAGGGCGGGCGGGCTGGCGCTGCTGTTTCTGCCTCTGCCGTTCTCACAGCAGCACTCCCCCCCCCCCCCCCACGGTCAGCAGTTTGAAGCACACGCTTTAGGGATGTGTGCCCATAACCTGACATCGGCATTCGCCGCCTGGGCCCCTCCTCTCCCAGCCTTTCCTGTCTGCGGGCTGCCGTATTCAGGACAGGGGACCCAAGAGTGAGAAGTGACACCGAATCTGTGTTCATGTATTTCAACAAAATGAGCACTTACTATGGCATGTGGGACACTCTGCAACAGGCGGAGGAGACAGAGACCAGGGCCATAGCCACCCTCCCCCCCACACCCCTTCTCCGGGAGGCGCACAGCTAGACCTGCACACAGAGATTCGCGGAGGAGGCACTGGGAGCATTTTCCAAGCGTGGCGGGCACCCGGGACAAGGAGCGCTTTAACCTGCTTGAGAGAATAGCTCCTTCTTCCTCACGGTCCAGTCATGTACATCTAAAGCCCAGGAGGGACAAGGGGGCAGCATTTGGGCTGGGGGACCCAGGGCGGCTGATGCCAGGAGACGTGACACTGCAGGGTTTTCAGGGAACTCTAAAAAGGACTCCGCTCCAGGACTCCCAAGGGCATGTGGGGAGAGGGAGAGAGAGCCAGCCCTGGAGAGACTTCTGTGCAAGCAAAATAGTTCAGATTTTATCTGGCTGCACTGTGGGCCGGAGAGGGTCATGCTCAGATTTGCGCGTTACAAGGAAGGGGGTCGGGGGTAGGTTCAGGGGCAGTAAGGAGGCCACTGCCCTGGTTTGGGGGGAGAGCCAGTGAAGGCTGGAATCAGGTCGGTGTACTGGCAAGAGAAAGGAGAAGCCAAATGCAGGAGTGATTTCAGAGCTAGCCGAGTGGTGCTAGGCGCCCACAAGACAGGGGCAAAGGATGTGGTTGGACCGATTACTTTAAAAAAAAAAAAAAAAAAAAAAAAAAGATGTGATGGGTGTCAGAGTAAAATAGCTGACCATTTGAACTGTGTTTCTCACAGCTCATTAAGGAGACTTCTGTTTCAGGTTCAAGTCAAGAAGGATTTTTTTTTTCCTAAACCAGCAAGAAATGAATTTTAGGCCATTGAATCCCAGCTGCTTTGGATTATTTTACTGTGTGGAGAGACAAAGTTCATCACCCTCCAGCGAGGTAAACAAGCTAAGAGCCCCCAAGGCACTGGGGTCCACGGGAAATTAGTGTGCTCTGGAATTTAGAGCCATTTCCTGACTTAAAGGTGTCTTGGAATCAGAAGTTCAGGCTGTCGGCAGAATCTGAAACTCTCAGACTCAGGCGAGAGAGAGATAAGGGGCCAGGGATCCCAGAGGGTCCATCATTAAAACAGGTGTGACCTGACCTGTGGTCCTCCCGCACTGGCCTCAAATATGTCACCTGCTCCTAAATAGAAACTGTATTTACCTTGGAACCAGAGCGCAGCAAATCCTTTGCACTTAAAAAAAAACATATTTTCCCAGTGGATTGTGGTGCCTACGAGAAGCGTTTCCCTTTCTCTCTACCCAGCTCCCTTCTGCCTTGCCCCCACCACCCCAAATCTAGCCGAGCAGGTGACACGGAGACCCGGCAGGCAGCAGCACAGTCAGAAAGCTGCCAGGTTTCAAAGTGGAAGGAAGAACTGACTGCAAAAACTATCCTTCCAGTTTATCAGAATAATAATAACTCATTACATTTCCTGTTCTCTGTGGAGAGTGCAAGGGCCACTTCCTCCCGCCACCAGAAATTTGAAGACTTTCCATTAAAAATGAGGAAGAAAAACTCTCTAACTTTTCGTGAATGTGATGGTTAAACCTGGCAAGTGGGCAGGGAGGCCTGCGGTGTTGCATAAATCCTACTGGCCGCACAGGGTTGGCCCGCGTGGGTTCCCATGACACCCCTGAGTTGGAAGACCAACCACTTCCCCAAGGTATTGATTTTTTAAAAATATTTGTTACTCTTTGAAATGCGGGTAGCAGCGACCTTGACAGTGTGTATCTTTAAGTAGCTCGAGCAGCTGCCAAACCCGTGTCCAGTTGAAAGAAACTTGTATACAGGGCCCTTCCCTCCTCTTAACTTTGTACCCAAGATATTAAGGCAGAATCACGTCTAAAACTTCCCTGGGAATCGAGAATCTGTTCCATCTTCGAGCAGACTGGAGATTTTTCACACCCGCCTTCGCTAAGCCAGCTCACTGTTCATAATTCCCAATATCAGGAACTTCCCTATAGCCGACCTAGATCGAACATGTCACAATTTGACCCCATTTCCTCAAATTTGTTCTTTCAGGGGGGTAAAGATCAGTTGGTCAATGTTCTTTATTTTAATGTTTCCATTGTTGAAGATTGTTACCCACAACTTCCCTCTGCCCAGAGTTATTCATTCTGGTTCCTTGAACCTCTCTGTCAGCTTTTTTTCCTTTCAATTCAGTGGATCCTGATTTAGTACTCAGTGGCAAAAACTCACAAACATCACAAACATACACACAGAAGGCCAGAAGACCCCGTGGAAAACATCAGACCTCTGCCACATGCCCTTGACCCGGACGGCTCCCCATCTGGGAACGCAGACGAGACAGGACAGTCCGCACTCCTTGCGATTCTGAGGGTCTAAATCCCTACAAAAGAGGAACCCAGTAGATGGCCAGGAGCACGGGGCAGGGCGGAGGGACGGGGTGGAGAACCAAGCACGTGGTTCCTGACCTGGTCCTGGAGGGTGGGGCTGTCTCTGAGGGCAGGCAGCAGGGAAGGGGCACGGAGATGGGAAAGCTGAGTCCAGTCCTGATGTCTGGAGTCCAGGGCTGGCCAGAGAGACCAGGAAAGGGTCAGGCCGACTTGGCAGTGGAGGGAGTATAGGCTGACTCGTCGTGAAGGAATGTGTGGACAAGCCTCAGGAGCTGGGACGCTACCCCGTGCGCAGTGTGGTCCCTAGGTCCAGCATCCCCACTACTTGGGAGCTTGTTAGACATGCGCATTCCCAGGCCCTACCCCATGTCACCGAATCAGAACTTCTGGAGGCAGTCCTGTCAAACAATCTCTCCAGGGGATTCTGAGGCACCAGTAAGCTTGAGAACCCCTGCTGGAAACCCTGGGATTCCCTAAAAAGGTTCTGAGCCAGCTCTACGTTAACATTGTGGGATCGGTTATATTAAAAACACCTGCCATCTGTTGGACCCCTTCTGTGTGCCAGGCTGTGCTTGGTGCATTCACTCTAATCCTCACTTGGGCAGGAGAGAGGGGAGAGGGAGGCCCAGGGAACCCCGGGTCGCACAGCCTGTAAGTGGTGGAGCTGGAACTCCTAAGGGCCCCTCCAGAGGCAGGGCCTTCCCCCGCTCAGGGAAAGCGCTGCACAACCAGCTGGGGGACTGGAGCAAGACGCTCCAGGAGTGCTGGGACAGAAGCAAGCTTTCCAGTGTCTTTGGAAATACCATAACCCGGCTGCTCCCTCAGGAGAGCCTTCTTCTGTTAACTGTTGTTATGCAAAAAGAAAAACGCTGTGACTTTAAGCAGGTCAGGTTTAAACCAGCACCCTGAGTACCCAGCCCAGGGTCCCTGGCCAGTTGATCCCTGACTCAGGAGGAAAGAAAATGTGACATTTTGAATCACCCCTGCCACTTCCTGGTGCAGAGATATCTCTGACTTCTCTGTGTTCCCCCCACCGGGAATACACCAGGCTATCGCTCACCGTCCTGAGTGTGTCCCCGTCTTGCCACCTGTCCCGCTCTGTGCTAGTGAGGTAGGGGGAGGGGAGACAGGTGAAATGTAGCTCTATTATCTTTTTAAAGGTTCTCTATGGCTTAGCATTACTATAATCACAGTGGATCTGGGGACACCTCTCTTGGCCCAAATGACCTGACTCCAATTTTGGTGTCTCTACCACAGCACGCTTCTGAATCCTTCCTATTCTGAATGGCCATCTTTCAGTGTTGTAGAAGTCACCGCCCTAAGTAGTAAGAGAAAAGCTCCAAACAGGAGAGCCAGGACATACCTAGTCTCTGGTCACCATCACGTTTTGAGCTTTCCCTTGGCGTGAGAGGAGGAGTCCCCAGTGGGGTTTGTATTACTCATACCTAGTAGCAAGAAACTTGGACACAGACCCCAGACCTCTGACAATGGAGGACCAGACACAGGGACAGCTGAGTTCAGTGGGAGCATACCTGAAATCTGTCTTAAAAGTTAACCCTTAATTTCTAATGGCTCCAATGTTTAAAATTTTTTAAATGAAATCATAAAACATTGCCCCCCACGGGGCACCTGGGTGGCTCAGTGGGTTAAAGCCTCTGCCTTCAGCTCAGGTCAGGATCTCAGGGTCCTGGGATTGAGCCCCGCATTGGGCTCTCTGCTCGGCAGGGAGCCTGCTTCCCCCTCTCTCTGCCTGCCTCTCTGCCTACTTGTGATCTCTCTGTCAAATAAGTAAGTAAAATCTTTAAAACAAAACAAAACATTGCCCCCTTCGGATGAGTTCAGACGAGTTCAGATGAGTTCCATGGCCCAGGTGGGTCTGGGTGACCAGGCCCTTAAGGTTCCTATATATATGTCAAATTGCAAACGGGCAAAGGATCAGAATGTACCGCTGACTGGTTGTTATCCTAAGGGTGCAGAGCGGCCCTCACAGGCCGGGGAGTGCAGAAGGGGTGAGCAATAGGCCGCTCGCTCTGCTTACCCCAGGAATGCAGAGGGACTTCAGGAAAAGGGCCAGGGGCACCCATTCATGGGCCTGAGGCTGGACCAGCTGTGTCGTGTGCTGGTTGGGCAGATCTGTGTTCTCCTGTCCCTATTAGAAAGGAGAATTGGAGGCCAGGAAGAGATTTCTAAGCTCAATTTTGCAACCGCCTTCCCTCAAGGTGGCTCTCACTTTGCCCCAAATTGGTGGAACTCTTCTAAGCCCATGCTTGGAAGTTTGAGTTTAATCCAGAGCTCGGAGAAAACGATTGTGTCTTCTGGAAAGGGAACTTAGGAGCTCACAGCGGTCCTTCAGGAAAAATGATTCGTCAGTTCAACAAGAATCTGAGCATTTGCTATGTGCCTTTGCTGCACCCCTAACCGTTTCAGCCGGTTACTCTGTCTTCTTTCAGGACGCGGGAAGTGAGAGAAAGGAAAGCCGCCAGCATAGTGCCTGGCACACAGGCAGTGGGTCCTAAGGGCCGACTCTTCCTTCACTCCCACTCAAGATAGATGGTGTCTGTATCCAGCAGTGGGAGGTGGTTCTCAATATCCATCATATGGATGGAGATGACTGTGTGGTGTTTGGGGATATGAGAAAGTTCTGGATCTTGGTCTTTAACATGATCTCTGACCTTGCCACACAGAGACCAGCTGCAGCAGAACCCGGAGCCTGTTAGAAACGCAGGATCTCAGGGCCTGCCCCAGACCTACTGAAACCATCCGATTTCTGGGTAATTCTGTGCATGTTTGAGAAGCACTGGACTTCACTCTGAGGGCCAGAGACCAGCTAGTCCTTTCTCTGGCCACGTTGGGCGCTCGTGGTCTTAGTAGCTTGGTGCATCCCCAGAATGAAGGCTGGGCCTGGAAGGAGGCTTGGCCTTCTGCAGGCCAGCGCGCTCTTGGAAGCACAGGGGTCGCTGACTTTAGCTGTGGGCAGAACAGAGAAGTAGCTCTCATCTCAAATGAATGCAAGCTTAAAAAAATCAGGATGTTGAGAGAAAGAGAAAGAAAGAAAGAAACAGACAGAGAAAGGAAGAAAAGTAAAAGAAAAAGAAAGGAAAGAAAAAAGAAAGGAAAGGGAAGGAAAAGGCGGGCACTGGGAGAATAAAGGGGAATTCACTGGAGCCTCTCCCGTTGATAATACAAGGACAAGTCAAAGCCTTCCTAATTACTGTGTTTAGGAAACAAAGGGTCCTTGCACTTTCCTTTCAAGTAGCCCACAGCTGCGAACTTGTTTCCCTCTTTATCTGTCTGGGAGACAAAGACACTTGCAATTGGAGTTTTGAAATGCAAGGTTATTTCTTCATTTTCCCTTGGGCCGTATGTTTTCTTTTCAAGGAACAGAGATAATGACTGTATTGTGAGGAAAGCAAGGAAGAGGGCTGAGCAGAAATCAATAGAGCTTTGGTGGGCCCCTTTCTGAGGGAGGAGAGAGTGAGTGCAGCCACCGTCCTGGTTTTCCTTGAAGAGCACACCTGGAACCCAGGTGGTGGGGGGGCGATGCTGATGGGGCCACACACGCCTTCCAAGATAGCTGATGAAGTCACTCACCGAATGCTTGCTGAGTCGAAATGGCCAGTATGTCAAGACATCGAATAGGCCGTAAGTTCCTCTACGTTTTTGGGATTTTTTTTTTTTTTTATTCATCACGCTTGACCTAAGTCAGATTTTTTTTTTCTGAGCCTAATATCTATTCCTAAAAAATCTTACAGCATAGTGGTTAAGAGAGTAAATTCTTGGGGAACACATGGGTGGCTCAGTCAGTTGATTGACTCTTGATTTTAGCTCAGGTTGTGATCTCAGGGTCGTGGACTCGAGCCCCACGGTGGGGGTGGGGGTGGGGGTGGGGGGGGGTCCATGCTCAGCGGGGAGTCTGCTTGAGAGTCTCTCTCCCTCGACCCTCCCGCTGTGTCCACGTGTGCGCGCTCTCTCTCTCTCAAATAAAAAGAAATCTGAAATGACAAAGATAGCAAATTTTACATCATTTGCACCTTCCCACAGTTAAAAATTTTAAAAAGTTCACCTCTGATGGCAGATGTTGTCATCCCAGCCCGGTAACGAAAATAGCGTGAAGCGCTGGTTATTTAAGCCTTGACGGTGTCCGTCACCGTCGGCCAGGAGCCGGCAGTCAGTGCCACCCAGTCCGGGCGCTGCAGGGGCACGTTACCTTGAGATCTGGGTGATTATGTAATGAGTTGTGTGACTTCCTGTACCGCCCTCCCCTCACCACACCAGGCCTTTGGGCCGTGCTGCTCTTCCTGACCCG